ATGTGGTGGTTTTAGCACTTGGCATATATGACCATGGTACGTCACGCAGGAAGCGTTGTGCCGGCGCGTCACCCGCGGCTGGAGCCTAGAAACGCCGAGAGCGTTGCTTCGGGTGTGTAATCAGCGTGACCGGTTCAATCTGTCCTGCCTTGGTCTTGTCTTGGAAGTGCGGCCGTTAAGAGTGTTAGACGAGGGTTTTTGATCCGGTTGGCCGGGTTGTCCCTCGAGCCTGTTGTTGTTTTGAGTCCCTTTGGTAGATCAGGGGTATACATGTCCCACGTTAGGTTTGCCATTCGCGTGCAAACCGGGGAGGGTGTTCATGTGTATGGATACGGACTGGTTCGATCTACCGGCAACAACAGAGGGCACGCAGATGGGGCATATGTACACCTTGAAATGGTTGCATGTGCGGGGACCCCTCAAACTCCAAAGAGGGCTTCACTTCTCCCTACTCCCCTTGCGTGTCTAATACAAGAGATAAAACGTCTTCCCCTTCTGAGTAAAGGACATAAACGAACACCAACAACAACTCTGCACCTTGTCTTCACTTTACAGACGAACGCACACGCGAAAACGAACATACACACAACACTTGCAACCACAGGTGCAACAGCAGCTTTTGTTGCACGCCTACAAGCTGCTTCAGTCGTGGCCCGATATGAGAGGGTGGTGTCACGAAAGACCCTCGACCCTCTGCATATCGAGGTCCCCTCTAATGTATAGGCTACCCAACTATACGAGTCCGTGACTACCTATTTCGACCCCCATATATCGGAGCCCCCTCTTCTAAGGGACCCTCTGATATCGGAACTACGACGACTGCATACCACGAGCACAGCGTAGAAAAAACACGCTTTCCCTGCAGTGCACAATGCAAGGACCGCGATGCGGCTCTCCGACAACCATCGCCGTATCGCTGCCGGCTTGCGTGGCCACGGGTCTCTTGATACTCCCCGCCCCGTTCACTCGTGCTGCGTGGCCGCATGCCTGCCTACCTGGCTTGTCGAATGGTCGCGCTATCTTCGTCATCTGTGGCTCGGGATGGTGAGATCGGCGGCGGTGATTTTGGTTTCGACGCCATCGGAAGGCTTGGGGTTGATCAAGAGGTTCCTGGTATTATTGCGGTTTGTGCCACAAACGGGACGACAACACCAACGACAACGGCGACGGCGACGGCGAAACACACCAACAAACGGCGGACAAAGGGAAGAGAGGAGGAGGGGGGCGGATCAACGCGTTGCAAGTCAATATCGTGCGCGGTCTTGATGCAGCACAAAAAGACATGCATCCACACCAACAAACAACAATTCAGACCAGATATCGCCGTTCGTCCGTCGTATTTCGTGCACGAGGCAGGCAGCTTATGGAGTTGGGAGCCCTGTCGTATTCAAGCGCGCATCACGACCCGAACCACTGCACAAAGCATGCGGTGCAAAACCTCTAGGTTGACGCTTTACATCTCATGAATTCTCTTGCAAAAGGCAAAAAAACGACCGCAACAGTCCGCGGGTTTTGGGGGAGCCGATCCCTTCTGACGGTAGGCAAGAGTCTTCCATGTCTTGCTGTTTGTCTCGATGAAAGCGGGCATGCAAGCGAGAAGTCCGGGAGGGCATCTGCGCTACGTGCCAAAACATCGACCACAGCATAAACAACACCTTCTGCGCTTACCCAACAACGGAACAAGACCTCGCCCGCGCGAAACAACAGCACCATGACTAACTGACCTACGGGGAAAGTAGCACCACCGTCTACAACAAGCACTTGGCCTCACCAAACCTCGCGTTACCTACAACCCGAACCCAAACCGACCAGGCTGGATCATTCCTCACCCCCAACTCTTCTACACAAACCCAACCATCTCCGACCAAACTGCCACAACACTACACCTTACCTGGTGGCAACGCATTCCTCGTCGGGTACGACGTAGCACTTCGGACCGTGAGCCTGTCGGCACTCCTCTCTGCGCCGAACCGTTACAGGTAGCAGAGCGAAGAGGACGACGGGGATGAGGGGGGCGGGAATCACTGTTAATTGTCGGGCATGGCGGAACCATGAAACCGAAAGGGGGCCGGCGATCATATCATAGGCCCTTGGATCCCGGCGGAGCCCTGTCAGAACTTGTAGGGATTCAGCCTACCCTGTGAGCGGAATGGGCGTTCGGAGGAATGAGGGGGGTGCAGATTGGGAAAAATACGAAAACACTCTGCGCGTAATTCTCCGGAGACGGCCAGGGTGACAGGAGAAATGCCCCCATCAGTCGGAAGAGTACGAAAACAACAATATTTTCGGTCGAAAATGAAACAGCCAACCATGATATCCGATCTTAAACTGAAGTTTACAACTAGACCTTCCATCACATCTGTTTGTGTGTGTACTCGGCAGGATACGAATCTCCGAGATCTCCGGGG